AGAAACGTACACACTGGGCTCGAAGACGCAGATCGCAACACATGAGTCGTACCCTGGAGCGACTATCCAACGCTTCAAAGCGCCCAATCAACGGAAACAACCCAAACAACCCACCAGCGGCACTCCAAGGAGCGCTTTTGCCGGCTCTCTGGTATCGCACAGGGGATCGCTATTCAGGAAAACCGATAGAACTACCTTTTCAACAATTTCTAGCCTCACCCGACGGCGGAAATAACCCTTCAACTAAGTGTTGTAAATGATGAAATCGAGTCAGTCATCACTGCAAATTATCAATATTAAGATAAATTCAGTTACAAAATTTTACAAGCTGAAACAGCAATTATCACGAGAAAACTGGCACGCATCTTGCGAGCGTACCCCATGTTCATCGGCGGTACAGCGTTCGGTGCGCGCTCCATTCACAAGCTGTTCCGAGCACAGTCGAGAAGATGGTGTTGAGGAAATGTCTTTTCGGTTTACGAACGCAATCCAATGCCGCCAAGCCCGGGGTCATGTGGAAAACGATGGAGCTTAAAGACATTGCAGCCGCTCTCGCCTTGCCGGATTCATTGCAAGCTACATAGGTCCTCGGACAGTATTCGACACTTTCAGTCGTTATTCGTGCACCCTACGACCGAGCAATGGTGTCCCGATGACCGGGGAACTGTTGCCATCGAAGCCCGTTACTCTAATTAAGTTTGCGAGTTCAAAACAGAAAAGAAAGCGCGAACGAAGTTGGGGCACAGCAGACACCCAACACCAGCCAAGCCTCTCATCCGGGACTTTCACTCTTTCTACACAATCAGAAAGGGGGAAAGCGCCGGTAGCCCTTTCCCATTTTCTCTCTCGCCCTCTTTCAGTAAAACGGTCTATACGCCCCTAATTTCGCGGTACTCTTTCCCGCGACGAAATTGGCCCGGAGAGACCAGACCAGGATCTTTGTGTGCTTAACACGGCATCAAGATCATCTTCCGGCGAACACTGGGTTCTTTTTTTCGTATCTCCAAAGGACGATTCGATTCGTTCTTTTGACAGTTTTGGTATGATACCAATACACGAAGAATTTTACGACTTTATGTTTTGCATTGCAAAACACCATAGATGGGAGAGTGGAGAGAGGAGGTCTCAGCAAAACTGAGGATTTTGGAGGGGGCCCGAGGGGCCAACCCCCTCGCTACGTGCCTGGAAAGAGATAGATAGGGGCATGTATGTTGTTAGTACTTTAGCTTCTCTTACCCTATTTATGTATGGGAATTACTCGCTAATTTCCAGTTTTTGAACTTTTATCAACTCGTCCGAAACGTTCTTGCTCGCTTATAAGATTGATGCACAAACAACGGCATATCTTCAGCGCGGAATAGAGTGCTGTCGCTGTCGTAATGCAAGAGCACAAGTGCATGTTAAATCCGACGCACGGCAGGGAACGCCGGGGCGTCTGCGGTTGTCTGATTAGTAATGGCGGCACAAAGGTCCTGGGAGGGCAGGATTTGCCCAGATGGAAAGACGAAAACTGCTGGCGATTCGAAACGCGGGTGATAATTTTATCATCCGGGCTTTGCACCACCAGCCTTGCGCCTCTGATGTATATGCTTTAGTATATTTTATTATAGAACGTTCGTCTTTCCTGCACCTTGTATTCCTGTCTTTTGCAGATTCGTTTACATTCCGAGCAGTTATCTTGTTTTGGTTTCTTTTCGTCTCATATTTCGCATCATCAGATGCCTAAGTTCGTCAAATAAAATTAAATAAACTTTAATTTCCTATAAACACGTGAGACCATCAGGCCCTCTTCTTAGCACCGCACGGGGGCGTCCCTCTGAAAATAAAGTTGTAACACACATATGAATGCATGTATAAGTTATGGTTTTAACAGATTGAATAGTTGCTCTATTTCGGCACTCCTTGTGCACTTCATAAAAACACAACCGAATTTATGGCAAAAAAAAAAAAAAAACCGCAGGAAAAACATAAGATGTGATGATGCCGGACTGAATTTTCCGATTATCTTGAAGGAGAATTTGGAATGAGCAATGCAACCAGTATAGTTAATATCTCTACCACTCAATTACTCAATTTATAAGTGAGAGAGAAAAAAAAAGAAGGAAATAAACTGTTTCTCTCTACCTGCACCACTTGACGGCATAACAGGTTTGATCCAAAACAATATAAAAAATGAGGGCCGTAATTGACCAAACGTTTCTTTAGTCCTTAAAGCCGATTAAAAAAAAACAGGGAGACAGCTGAACGTTGGCATTGGAACGAACTTGGAGAATCTTGCGAGCAATTATAAGTATTTGTGTTTCGTTTTTTTTCCTTTGGTATAAAGTTATTAATTGTTGTTCCGCTTGGTCCTGCCTCTTGTCTTATATCTACACCACTGCAGTATGGTCACCTAAAGACGGTGGGTATCTCCGCTGCTGACGACGTCAAGTATTTGGGCACGGTCCTCAATCAGGAACTCCCGCCACTCAGATATAACTGAAAAGAAGAGCGGACAGAGGAAGACAAATTAAGCAGCTTTAAAAACGGGAAGGTAAAAAGTAGTCGGGGAAAATATCTAGCGCAACTGCGCTTAAGGTATAGTTCACGGCTTGGGACAGGGTTGTCCAAAGCCACTACAGTCAAACTCGTTTTTAATGAACAGTAGGAAACGCCACGATAAGTTCGATATAGCAAGTAGTTCGACATAGCGAAAACCCTTTACAACGAACTTCCACGATCCGTTCGTTATACATGGGTCACATCGCCAAAAGTAAACAAATAAACTCGTGCCACTTACCACTCAAGAAATCCATTTATTAAATATTTTGTGCATGCGTGCAGAGTTTTTTTTTTTTTTTTTTTTTTTTAGCTTAGCTCTTTTTTTTTTAATCGCTTCTCTTCGTAAGCAACCGCTTACGAAGAGGAGAGGGACTGGCTGGAAGACGATTGTTCGCGCGTTTTTAGAAGCCTTCCCGGGGGGAAAAAGTTCGATATAGCCAATATATTGTTTGTTATAAAAAGTACTTTTTACATGCATTTTTATTTATATTTTCCGTGAGTTCGATATTGACAATAATTCGCTGTACGTGGGTTCGTTCTAAAGGGGTTTCAGTTAGGGCTGGGCGTCGATTAAACATTTTAACCTGATTAATAGCCACCCTTTAATCGATTAATTAATCGATTAATTGGTTGTGTTGATTTTTATATTATATTGAAAAGAATGCAACCGCTTGGCTTGCCTTTGAAGACTTATTTTACACTCTGGTACACGCCGCAAAGGTCGTTTACAATTGACGACAGATATAGTTCAACCTAGAGCCACCAAATGAGCTACGCTTAGAGTATCGGCACTCCGTTCCCCGGCCTTGTTGTTGGCGCCGCCATTAAGGCTCGTGCCGATCGTCATGATTCAAAAGTGCGACATCTTCAGCATTAGATTCGATGTTAGGAAGGTCACGAAATATTGATTTGCTGTGACACAAACGGTTTAGACATTTGTAGATGGCGGAAAGGCGTTTCCTGTGATTTCAGATAAAGCTTTAGATGGCTGGCAACCATGATTTTAAGACACAATATGGCCAAGTGTCGTTACTTTTAGTTTGGGCAGGCCGTCCAGGATGGAGCCGTGGGTGCGTTTAATCGACCTCTTTTTGGGTACCGATTAGACAACCGATTAACCCAGTAAAAAAAATTTATTGCGATTAAAGCCTTAATCGATTAATCGGAAGGTTAGTCGATTATATTGCCCAGCCCTAGTTTCACTGTATTATGTGTGGACGTTCTGACTTCGTTGACAACTGTCATTTACAAATCGCAGTGTTCAACGAATAAAGAAATAAGAAATCTTTAATTTAATAATTATTTCGTGACACGCTTCGTTTTTGCATTAACTGTACGAAATGTCTTGCGCCTGTCGCTGGATTATTATACGTCAAGTTTAAGGGTTATGTCTCTACGACAGTTTTTTTCTTCGCCCCTGTCCAGTTGAATATTTTCTTAAAGGACCTATGAAACGAATTTTGGTTTGGGATGAATGATTTTAAATTGAGACTTTACTAATCGCACATCGTTTAGTTGGCCAAAAGAAGGAGGCTAGAAAGTCAAAAGCCAGATTTTCGGTACGAACATTTGAAAACATAGCGGACTATTTTGTACCTTCTTGCCTTCGAAAGCTCTCCGTCTTTTCACTATGAGACATACGCGGTTCCAAAAGCGCGTCACCGGCGCCAAACTGACGTCAGGAGAGCCCAGATCACGCATTGGACACGAGAACTGCGTCACTCGGACGTATGCGGTCGTCAACAATCAATCCGTCGACGAATATTTGGATTCGCGTTCGTGGCCAATGAGTGCCCAGACGGAACTTATCGTCACTGGGGAATGACAAGTTCTATGGTGTGCGTAAAAAATCACGGTGGAAGCTAGGAGTCATCGCACCGGTGCCGAAGGAATGTCACGACCACGTGATTCCACCATTCGCATTTGAGTTGAGGATTAAAGCTAAGGAGGAAGTAGGAAAATCGTTTCATGACCCCTTTAAGTTATGATGAACTTTCGGTACGACATCCTTAACTGCAAAAGTCATTTTATTTTTATTTTTATTTGATTTTCACAGCGTCATTGCTGGACGTCTTCTCTTGTCTCTTCCGTTGACTTTTCGAGACAACCTTTTGTAGTTCTGGCATGGCGGGGACTTATCAATTTAGGACACATTTTAAGTCCAGGGGACCGGACATGTTGTCGGGGTGGGTTTTAGTCAAGTACATGACATGCGCGAGATGATTAATTTGCGTTAGTAAATTAACCCTTCAAGAGTGACATGAGGAATCGCGTGACAATGGAAAAAAAGTTAAACGAGGGAGTGCACTTTTTTTCTCTGAACACTTTCGAGATGTCATACCGCTGTCGTGTTCAAAACTCTGGCAAAACGCCTTGATTACGAAGATGCCTTGGGACGACTATAAAAGTCAGGGAGATTTCCGGAAGCGACGTGCACTGGAAGGCTTCAATCAGACAGAATGTCAGAGGACGTTGATTTCGTTGTAGCACTGATGCTGGGTGCTGTCCTAGCAGGTAAGTGTGACAATGCCCGTGGTTTTAGACAGTAAACGCCGTGAACCAAGTAGCTTGGTTCGCGATGAAGTACTTAAATTATGTCTAAACGCGCAACGCTCTCAGGCGAAAGTTTGGTAAAAACTTACCTGTCTCAAATTTGGTTCAACATATTAACAGGCACGTCTGAACTAGTAAGCAAAATTACAAGTCACAATGATTTTTTTCTTCGCGCAGTTGTTGATGTTTTAAGTTTGGTCTAAGAGACTTAGATTCTCAGCCGGACACACTAAAAACCTGACTTCAATGAGTTTAATATGGTTAGTACAGTGTGTTTACGGCGGATTAGAAGAATTTTAATGATGTGAAATGAATACTAGGTGAACTCATGCAAGCAAAACAAAACGAAGAACAAAGAGAAAGCCCAAACTACTGTAACTTTTTAGACTGCCTAATGGTGTGCTAAAACCGGGCAGTGTGTCATCCACGCGGAGATTCAACGGAGGGAGGAGGTCGGCGCAGCGATGACTGCGCGTATTATAAGGACATCAGGGGGCGCTGCGGGCAAAAGGCGTGCTCTTTCCCGCTCGGATTGTCGTGCTGTCGTACTGTTTGTGTTCGTGTGGTTCGCGTCGTCCCTTTGTTTTCCTGCAGTGTTTTTTTTTATGATTGAGTGAACTTGACTGCAATTGGTGCCGTTCAGTGGCATGTGGGCAACGCGTGCAATTAAAAGGAGTGGCAGGGAGTCTTTGCTTCATGGAATGCAGGCTCTGCAACAAGCATCAGGAGCAAGTTCCCCGACCCAGCTGATAACAGTTGTGCTCTACTTTTCTTTTACTTTTTGCATTTGGTAAAGAATCTGGTAAATCGGTTTGTAGGCACTACATATTTTTCTAAACGGCTTTGAAAAGATAAGGGTTGGCCCAGCACTCCGTCTCTTCAGTGAGGAGGTGCTTAGAGGCCTCTTTGTTAGCAAGAAAATTGCAGGGGTTTGTGGCCCAGCGGAAGAGACTGAGTCATTTATCCTGAATATGTCGAAGCACATCAAGATCATGACCTCACACTGGGGAATGTAGAGGTACAAAACGCCATTGGCGCCGACTACGGGGGGGGGGGGGGGGGGTTGAATTGGCGCCCTTCTTCCACCCTCTCACCAGCTCTTTGGAAAAGCAAGTATCATCACCTCCGGAACCTCCTGAGTGCGCATTATCAATTTCATCTGTGCGCCCTGGTGCCGGCACATATTGATAGCTGGTGCCCAGTGGATAAATAAAAACGTATTTACGCACCAGCTTTGATCACTAAGTGACCAGAGCTGGTGAGTGGATACATTTTTCTAACCGTTCGCTCAGTTCTTTTCAAAGACCCTGCGTGGTATTAGCAAATACGATAATGGATAGTGCTGGAAATTCCTTCAAAAGCCATTGGAAGTATTTGCGAATGACGACAGGGACACCTCTAGCAGACCTGCAGCCTACGAAAGTACGCGACATAATATGTTTTGTAAGCCCCATTTTGTTTTCCCAACGTTGAAACAATTCATTACGGTCGGTGCGCGTGAGCCACGGAATTCACTGATCACAACTGCAAGGACAGCTAAATTATAGGGTCACAAAAGCAGACATTTGCTTGGGTATCATGCCATCAGCATGCTAACCGAAGTTATCCAGGGAATAACACACGTTTGGGATCTCTTAAGAGACGTCCCAAACGTTTCCCGGGGGAGGGGGGAGGAGGGAGGGGGATTTTCCGCTTATCCAGAACGGAACACTGTTAGCGCTATTAAGCAATCGCCGTGTTTTCAGTTAGAAACCAAAGGATGTCAGCAAAGTTCTGATGCTTACGAAGAAAGCTGATTCGGTTTTATAATGCAGGCGATAAAATTTCGACCCCCCTAATACTCTTTCGAAGTAAGTGCGAAAAAGCGCCAATGTCGTGTTCGTGCTAGCAGTGTCCCGATGTGAACTGTGGAATCCTGCCCGAAGTAGCACGTCTCGCGCAAAGCATTTGGCAACGAAAGCACGATAAATAATATGTGAAACAGAAGAAATAAAGAGTACCTCAAAAAGCTAGCCAAACAATACGAAACGATCAAACCCCTGCGGATCTCCAAGCCAGCCAAGCGCTACGGCTTCCTGCGCTCCGCACTCCGGCAGCACGCCTGCGACTCGTTGCGCCCCCTCGCGACCGCCTATCCGGTCTTCGCTGGAAGAGCCCCCCCCTCCGCCCGCGCTCGACACACTGCCCAGTATTCTTGTTCACCATAACTGCCTAATCACCTTGCAGTGTATAGAAGGTGTGACGTCACCCCACTGGCAAGCGCCGAAAAATATGAATGTTGCTTTCGTACTAATTATTCATTCGACGTGTTCTCAATAACAATTTTCGATATAGAGAGAGTAATTAGCATGCCGGGAAGAGTGAGAGTGATGCCTGGATATTCCGAAAATGTGCTTTAGTTTGGGTACCTCGAAAAACCACCAGAGCTCCGCTTTCACAATATGTTGGTGGCTGAATAAAATTGTAAAGAAATCGTACTGCTTTGTTGTTTGCGGTCTGCATAATCGTGAGCAATAGACCCTTTTCTAAAGTCCGTCACGCAATATTGGCGGTCTCCATTGCTTATTGATCTTTTCTAGACTTCGGCTAGGTGGCGGAAGCTAACTAACCCCCGTTACAAAGTGTATGACCCATTAGCATCCATCCATCTATCCATTGGACACGAAGCACGTGACTGGATCCGAGTCCTCGCCAAACGCTGACGCAGCGCTCGTGTCCAATACGAGCTCAGAGCGCGTGACCAAGCAATGGCAGACAAGCGTCGGTGTGCACTTTTGGGAAAAGGGGTATTGTGAAACCAAGAGTTCTAGAATTACATCCGACGCCTGTACGGACCTGCCCTAACCTACCAATGAACTTATACAGCTGCAGGGCTTCCTTCGGAGAACATTGTGTACCCGAGAATCATTCAATCGAGAGATCAGAATGGCGAAAAGACGCTCTACATCCGACCCGGACTCGTGCTGAGCCTCGAAAAAAGCCGAGTGTTTTCGGACAATTTTGTTTTTTCAATAGACGACGGTGTAAATCGACAAGACAAACTCGTGAGTACATTCCAGTCTTGCTGGTTTCAACAAAATGGTTATTTCTAGGCTATACAAAATTTTATAAATAAACGCCGTGAAAGTTGAACTAATGCTCGCTTTGCAGGTGAGTTGTACGGCCAGAAGGACTTAATAGGGGGATAATGATAAGTCGCATACATAGCTTTAGATGTTCAATGAGCTTTTAAATCATTGCAAATAACCGTAGGGTTTCAGTTGGAGGCCTGCTGAACGTCATTGAATACCCTTAAATCAGTGAATTGTAGAAAGGGTTTGTGCTCGTGCTTCCTTTATCAGATGAGAGATTCACGAAACGATCCTATAACACAACAGGTGCGTACGACAAAACCAAAGAACAAATTCGTGTTCACGAAGCGAAATTACCCTAAGTTTTGTGTAGGTTACGATGGAATTCTTCGACAGATCCAGACATTTCTTACACACATTTTACGATCAAATCCATATAGCCGGCAACATCGCCCGCTTTCCTGTCGCGACGATCGACCAACGGGCATTTATGTTTCTACGTGCTCTCCGAGCGCGTCCCAACTTTAAGCAGGAAGAGAAGACCAATAAGTACCCTAGACTGAACGCCGCGCAGACGAACGCTGCAACTGGTACGGATACCTCGAAAAAGCTACAGCAGCAATAGGGAGCTTTTGTAGACCTCATTTCCGCCTCCGCTAAGCCCTCCGCAACGAAGAAGCCACTATTGCGCCTGCGCGCCAATGGCCTTGGCTGTAGAGTTCCGAGCATCGTAGCGGGTGGAGGCGAGCGTTGCGGGACGGCGAAAACGATCTACGAAAACTCCCTAATGACCGACAAAGTGATCGCCAATGGCTGACCAGGAGGGCAAGGCCTAGCAATGTACTCCAGCGCAACGTTGCTCTGACGGTCCCTGGCCAACATCAGCTACCCACGATCGGCTGGCTTGCTGAATGTAATTTGCCTGCGCGACCTTTGTGGACCTTCCCTGTATGAATAGTTTGAACCCTGACCCCACTTTTGGGTAAGAGGGTCAGCGTCTTCCACTTGTCGTCCCCTTGTTTTCGGAAGCAGTGGCGGACGCTCTCGTCAGAAGAGGGGTCCACTCCCCTCGATTATATTTTCCTTTTTCGTGTTATATAGAGTTAGGCTAAACGCCGTATGGATGGATTCCCGACATGAGTACCTACACTTTATCTAGTATGTCCTTTTTATTACGACATGACGATGCACCAACACATGTCGAGTTAGAGCACTTTTCCCGAGCTGCGGAATCCTGGTCCAACCACCCTCTTCCAAGCATCACGTCAGCACCGAGTTGCGATTGTCTAGTTGCCCAGCGATTCATGTAATCGGTTGCGAAAGATCGCTTCAGAAGCGGTTACCAAGACGCAGTCCAGCATCTCGGTGTCAGCGCGGTTCCGCTCCCAAAGTGAACGGGTATTTACGTGGCTCCCGCTGACACTCTTGTAGTTCAATCGTATCTCCCTGAACGTCGTCTCCCTCCTGCATCCCCGGGGTCACGAAGAACGCCGCGGCGATTTGGTTTCCTGTGCGACGCTTTGCATAGCCATGCGGACCGTCTCCTTTTAGCAAACTATGGTAGTAGCGTTGACTTTGTAGCGATCCAGTTCGTAGGAAACGACCCTGGCGGTTATCCCGTCCTCGGCAGTGCCGGGTATTTGGAACTGTTTAAATTAATATAATTATGTCGACATTACACCACACTGACAGGATACCTAAACAAGCTCTGCCGGAAAAGGCACGTGATCCAAAATCCACGTCCTTCGATCATGCCGTGCTCTCCGATTGACTGTTATAGCAACAGCGCTCTTTCGCGGTAATAGGGAGCTTGCGGGACACCGCACGTTCCTCTTTTTTTTTCTACGAGAAAGCAGATTTTCTTACGTACCTCTTAGCTAACGTTTCGTAAGCTATAGGAGGTTCGTGAATCTGGCTAATGTTGAGGGTTGGGCGAGTTGGTACGACATAGTTCGGCATTAAAAACAGCGCAAAAGACGAAGGACCAGACGAAGAAGCAACACGGATACAGCGCCGCGTCCGTGCTACTTCTTTGACTTGTCCCTCGTCTTTTGGGCTGTTTTTAATGCCGAAGTGTGAATCTGACCTCTGTGTCGCCAAAGTGTATCCAACTACGGCAAACCCGCGCGGTTTTTGCTTCTCTTATCATTTGGGTTTTTGTAACGCAAGGCTTCCGCCTGTACCACAGGTGGTAACATTAGCGCCCTTACACACACCCAACTTGCTTCAGGCCTTCCTAAAATCGACTAATTTAGTGGTTTCTCATAACGCTCAATAGCTTTCTAATATTGGGAGGCCCTGAGTTCAAATGCCGGCTCCACTATAGATTTTGTCTTTCGGCAGCTTCGTAGAATTTGTTTCATTCGATAAAGTACAGTTCATTCGTCTGCATATTTTTGATTAAGCGCCATATTTCTTTATTATCGAGAAAATATTCATTAACCAATCAGCTAATTATTCGACTTATCGTCTCAATTAGACCCGTATATTATGTCCCTTTGGTCTTATAACTCCCATGTACACACCGCATTAATACAGCTTTCACCGCTTAAAAGAAATCTGCACAGCCTAAAAAGATTCTTATATACATGCGATGTGGTACCGCCAAGGTTTCGCCATCCAAGCGTGAGAAAAAAAATGAACGTAACTGACGAGAGCTTCAACATATTCACATTAAATTGTTCGTTGTGATCTTCGTTAGCAATGACCCGAAATGCACCTAATTCTAGGTACCCTGTAAACATTTGTCTGATTTTCTATACAGTATAGCCTGGCAAAAACTAAGGTTATATTAGACGTGAAACTTCTTCACAAGACTCACAACCTCCGATGAATCCTCTATTTGAACGAGTTAAGTGCTTTGAAATAAATGTCTTAGACAATTCTTTTTTAGCTGTAAATTGCTGTTATGATACTTTTAAGACGAACGTGACCGATAAACCGTTTTGTGATAACGTACTTAAAGTTTAGCTATTTTAATTACGTGTAATTACTATTGCCAATGCTATTTCAAATCAAGGTAATCAGAATTAAAACGCGCTTGCAGCAGACAATGTTTAGTACAAAATACTGATTTTCCAGCATCTATGTGTGATGTCGCCAACTTGTATATTCAATTTACATTGGTATTTTATCCGTACAAAACTTGAGTTTAATTCTGCGGTTTGGAACTGTAGTCGTACAATTCAAGCAACGATGAAAATGTGCGTACTCCTTTATTCTATTGTTTAGGACTGTTAAGTTTGCCGCACTATAAATTATGATTATGCGAAACTTCCCCGATGATGTGGTCTTCCTACTCTAGGATCGACAAGGCTTGAGCGCGATCTTGTTTGATTGGCCTACGTGCTTGCATATGGTTCAGTCGACTATGCAAACTTCGTCAGCTACCGGTTCTAGGTGCCGCGAGTAATATTGATGGTTAGTCCCACTTCCTCAGTTCTAAAATTACCTTATCCAGCCCCTCAACAGGATACAACATTTTATACAACCTAGTAGAACCAGTATCGACATCTTCAGCTCAGACATTGAGAGGTTCAGGTTCTCCCTGTCTAATATTTAAATATTTATGCTGTACCCTAAGCGAAATATTTTATGCGAGTTTTTATACTAGTTTTTTTATTTACGATCTTAATTTTAGTTTACTTGTATTCGCAACTACCTTTGTTAATTACACCATCTCAGCTAGTTTCATTATCCACATAAAATATTGTATAACGAAAGCATTGAGCGGTCATCGTAATTTTAAAAAGTGTTCTCTGTGCAACATCATCCAGGAAGTTTCATTGTTCATAAGCACAAAAACAAAAAACAAATAAACAACACACGATGGTGATGATGATAATAATTTTATATGGTCATACGTTTAATTTGCTATTTCGATGGTGGCACTAGGAAACCTTTCGGTAAATTTTTAAGCGGATGGAAAATATGGTGCATTCAAAATGAAATAGCGAATAATTCTTGGGTGCAAGCAAGTGTTTGCCAAGTCATTACAAAATTTATACCATCGTTTAAAACATTCCTTGCAGATGAATGGCAAGGAACTAGAAAAGAATTTGTATCAAGACCGAGACCACAGCTCCGTTGTCTCTGTTGAGGAAGAAGAGGGAGCTGTGCAAGTGGTATGACTTACTTCTTTTTTATAGAACGACATCTAAGCTTTTTCAAAATATATTGTTGCACACAAGTCTTCTTCTAATGTTTTGCTTACGCCTAATATTTTCGTAGAGAGGAACCCTCAGCCACAAATTCTCAATCGAGCCAATTGCGTCTGGTCGCCGGTCAGAAGATGATCTCATTGCTCACAGATTATTAGATCTTGAGGACATCGATAATCCACTCGGCGACGACTCTGGTAAGACTCAAATGTAGAAAAAAATATATATTAGGGAAGGTTTGCTTTAAAATGAGTGGAAGCATATTTAGCGCCGGGTAATTATTGTAATGCAGAGTAAGTAAAATGAGAATATATCTGCCGCAAATGAATTTAGTTGATACTACGGATGAATCAAGGAATAATCTTCAGCTCAATTATCGCCTGTGGTCCAAATTGCTCGCAGCCGCGTTTTTTGTGACATCTCTATGGAATCGTTGCCTAAAACATTATGGTGAAAACAAAATAATGTATTAGTTTCGCACTGCAGGGAAATTTTTCGTCAGGAGGCATCTTTATGACAATCCTCGAACCTAAGCACTCCAGAAAAGTACAATTGAGCAGTGATGTTCGTGACTTCACTACATACATTATTCTGAAAACAATTTGACCACGATTTATTTGCCAATTATGTTTTCTACGCACTCGGTTCCCTTTCCTCGGAAGCTCACAATCTCACAAGAAATTCAAGATATGATCGCGCAGCATAGTGCAAATTGACGTTTACCTAAACTCAAGAAGCACTACGTGAATTTTCCATTCGAACAAGACAGGATTCAACGATAATATTTGTTTATTTTATTACAACTTTATGTTATTACAGTATCAACAATATTATAATAAATTATCGCGCTGTGCCATGCCTTTTTAACACAGTTCAAGATATAAGCCTCCCAGCACAGGATGTTGGCCTGTCCACCCCAGAAGGCAAGTGACATTATACATATTTATTTATTCATTCTAATACCGTCAAGACCCATAAGGTGTTACACAAGGGAGAGGGTTGCAGTCGAAGGAAGTAAATGTAAATTGAGAAAACGTTCAACAAAAAAAAACAAATATTATCATGAATACTTTAACACAAGACTGGGGCACAAAAAAAGTTTTCAGAGGCAAAAAAAAAAAACAAAAAAAAAACGTTAAGGACAGGCAGGTTCTTACAGAAATACGCATCTGACACTGCTTCTTGTCTCATTTTGAAAACAAGTCAACCACGATTCGTTTGTGAATTAGCCTTTCCAAGCACTCGGTTCCCATTTCCTGGAAGCTCTCAATCCCAGCAGGAAATTCAATGGCTTTCACTTAAGCGCCCAAAAGCATTGCTTGATTTTTTTTTAGCAAAAAAAGAAAGAAGGAAAGACACATCTCACTAGAGACGCCTCTGTCACCGTTCTCATGGTACCACTAAAAACGTTTTCCCTCCTACCGCCCCAGTTACGGGTTAAAGTCACCATGAGAAACTGCCAGCATCTCGCCTGCGCATGCACTGTATTTTTGTCAATGAATGTAGGTTTACGTAATCTGTTTCACTCCAAGTCCGACCGCATGCGACGATATGTGGTTCGGTGAAGGACCAATCAAGCATTGTCAAAAGTGCATCGTCTCGTCCCTGAAGGGGTAACCGATTTGGCCTTGGCCCTGGGTTTTACTGGCGACGATGGAAGGACGGAAGAGAAAAGGGGCACAGTGACAAAGAGGCGATTAGAACATTGGTGGAAATTATCTAGGGAAAATTGAATGATGGACAACTAACTAGCACAGCTGTGGACAGGCGTGACAGAGGAAAATTGGCGACTCCCTCGCCGGGGGGAAGAGGCAGGTTGTGAAGTTTTTAGTTCGAAAAAAATCATTTGAAGATTTTTCTTTTGCCTTTTTAGATTTAGGCTAGGTGGCGCAAGCTACCGCCCGTTACAGAGGGTATAGCCATTAGCACTCATTCATCCATCTATTAGGCACTAAGCGGGTTTCTTGATCCGAGTCTTCGCCGAACGCGGACGCATCCCTCGTATCCAATTCGTGCTCCGGGATTGTTCCCAAACAATGCCGGAATCAGATAATTGGCCCAGCAACTCTGGCGCGCTCGTTCCGGAAGGGGTTTATTGGTATTATGAGTCCCGCTACCCGCACAATTACACCAAGATTTATCAACCCGAAAACATATTCAACGTAAGACCGTTTTGTCAGGTAGGGCTATAGTACTGCCGCAATTACTTTGTTTACAATAATCTGGAATGTTTCATGATGCTTAAAAGGACACTGACAGGGTATTTATAATCGCCAAAGTTTTTGTTTGTACATTGCATATGAGAGCCAAACTACCCTGAACAGAATTTTCGGCTCGAAATTCGGTTTCTTTCCGCCCAAAAACCTCCAATCAAGAGCTGGCCGGTTTGAGTCGCGCTCATTTTCTCGGGCCGTTTTCTAATGTTTAGACGGGCCGTTTTCTAATGTTTAGACACAACCACCAAATTTAATCAAAGTCGAGGTCATCGAAGGCATGCACATAATATTAAAAATATAAAAGAAATGTGATACCCATTTTCTGTGGCTTCTAAAAAGCTACAAACGCATTGTTTGGGCGGAAAAAAAGTATCACGGCCACGTGATTTCCGACACCTCTCTTTTCTATGCTTCTGCTTCCTCCTCAGTCCAGTTTCGGTTTCGGTTTCGAGCCAGTTCCGTTTTTTTTTCTACTTCATTAAAAATATACGTGACGCTGTAGTGAAATATTGATTATACTTTGTCTCGCCCTACGGTGGACTAAAGGCCAAAGCCACGGGCCGCCAGGTCCAGTCACGTTCCACGCTAAACTATGACATGCCTAGCATTGATTAGGGGTGGACGAATAATGCTCCGAACCCAAAAACGCTCCATCATTTTTGATAGCTTCGACACTGCAAACAGCCTGTGCGTCGTGGCTTTTTTGCAATGTAACATTGTTGAGTTACTCCCTGCTATTCAACTCGAACCACTGTCCGCCCATTCCCAACAGTGATCCGAGACGCGGGCCCTGATACGTGCATCAAAGCAGAATACCAGGCAATTTCTAGGTGGCTCGTGATTGAATATGGCGGTCCGTAGCTTTTGCCTTTAGTCCATCGTAAGGTGAAACGAAGTATAGGTAGTGTTCTGACACCATAATAAATCACATGAAAAGAAAAATTTGGTGGGTGTCGGTGTCCTTTTAAGCTAAAAAAAACAAACAGGTCACGACATATGTAGCTCAACGTTTGGGTACATAATATGGCAGCCTGGGGTGAGCAGTATGGGGTCATAATACTCCACCAGGGTTCTGTTGCGAGTCTGCGAGTCCCCAAAAGAACTCTTATTCAAACCATGGTTAAATATTAAAGATCAGCTCCCATTTTTATTACATTAAGGTGTACGAATATACATTTAGTCGCATCAGTTCGTTTTTCGTTTATGTCTTCGTTGTGTATTCATGTTCGTTTTTCTTCTGGCGACTATTTGACAGTATGGTTTCCTAAGAATTCAGATCTGGATCGAACAATCAGGAAACGTTTCGGGAGCTGGAAGGTCCCTCGTCAGACCAGCTAAGGAACTCAATAACTTTAGCTGGTCTGCCGAAGGAGCTTTTGGGTTTCGAAACGCATCTTCATATCACGATCGACACAAAAACTTCTAACCACCCGAGGAAAATGTTGCTTTATGTTATTACTCAGAAGTGCTTGTTTAAGTGAAAATAATGAATAAATACACAAAGAATTGACGCAGCCTCTGGGTGGCGGAAGTGTCCAAAACGTCCAGATATTTTCTTGGTCAGGTATTGCCCAACGGTGACGTAACTGCCACTGGTGTTAGTATCAACATTGGTATAATGTTTCTACCTTTTTTAGGTGAACCTGATGTACAAACAACTGACCAAGCCTAGAATACAGTTCATCGTCCTGAGCATTACGAAACTCACGGTGCGTAGCGGAACAACATTCTTGCTTCTCACTAATAGCTGCCAAGTTCGCGTCTTCGTCTGTTGTTTAGCGTTCGCGCCTTGTCGTGTCCTCTTCTCTGCTTTTGTCCTCGTCTTTGTTGCGCACAAGATTGTATAAGAGGTCTTCGTCTGGTTTGTTTAGCGTCACTTCCCGCCCACGCATGAAAAGTGGTCCACGAAGTGGCAAGAAATGACGTCACCGAAGCCGGCCTGTCACGTTGCCGGATTTCTCGATCCTGGCGGTTGGTGATAAAAGTACGACTGAACGCGAGTGTTGCAGTGGTCGAGGGGGCCCCAACTCTTGGTGCCGAAGCTTCCGGGGTCTGTCACTCCAGAGAGCAACTTGCAGCGGAACAAGCATCTGTCACATGCTGGACCGTTTCTGTGACACCGCTAGGGTCGCGGCCGGCAACAACGTGACGGAGCCGTGTATTGGGAGAGTTTGGTCATTCATTCGTTTGAATAGGCGAGCATCTCGCGGATAGCCACAGGCCACGAAGCAGCCCTTGGCGGTTGTCCTCAGCTCTAAGAATGCGACTTCCCTAATTTAAGCCGTTTTAGCGTCACTGGAGTAAAAAGATACTCCTCCTGGCGATTGAAAACTTGGCGCATGTGAGGTTTCGTCATGTTCATATTCCACGGTAGAATAAACGAACGTGCGCTTCAAACCAGAGCAAATTGCGTAGTTGCGGTACACTATAGTTGCGAGCAATGCTCCCGATCTGTTTTTGACGCCGTTATCACCTAGACGCCGAGATTTCACGCTTCTATTTCACGATTTAAATGTCGTTTCCAATATTTTGGTGTCGCGGTCTGCTGATTGGTCTACGCTGCGTCGCATTTTTAGTCCACGCTCTAACCGCGGAGGAAATATTCGGCGCTGGCGGCGGCCTGCGCTCCGCCCGTTGGCCAAACTCTCCCAATATACGGCTCTGGAACGTGACAGATGTACGACGTCATCGGCGGAAATCGAAAGACCACTTTTTTAGGATGCGGTATAAGCACAGCTTTCTAGACGCGTTCAAGGCACCATACATAGATTTCTTTACATGATCCTTTTATATGGCTGTCACTTTGCTCCAGAACTACACGTTCAGTTATCTCAGGACCCATCCTAAAACTAATCGAACGTTTATCGATCTTTGCAAAACTATCGGAACCATGAACAGATACTCGAACAGAATGTTCAATAGGACAACGCAGGATGCTATCGTCTATGTCTCGGGGTAAGCAAACGAATCTACTACTTAATAACGAAGCGTTTAGTAAATCGTTTCGGTACCTCCGATAACGATACCCGATAACGATACGATGGATGCGCAAATGCGTAAGCGGGGTATCGAATATCCTTATCCGAGTTATCGGAACGATCTATTAAAACCAGTGTTGGCGGGAACGCGTTACCTTCAACGGCGTAATCTGCAACGCGTTACCTTTTTGGTATTTGCTAATATAGCACTCGTTACTTTTTCAAAACAGTGACGGGTAACGTATAAATGTTACTTATTTTCAGTAACGGGGAACATAGTTACGTTATTTTCTACATCTTCCGCAGACCTAATAAAATACTTTATATTTATTTGCGTCTTGGCGCCAAGTCCTATTAATTGCTGCACTCATCCCACGAAACCTACACGCTTTTTCTCCAGTGTCGAGACAGGCTTTCGGCGTCGATGCCGGCTGAATAAACGCCGTTCAAAAGTGACACAAAAGTAACGCGCGTTACTTTTGTAACGGTATCCGTAACGCGTTCCTTTTATTTATAGGTAACGTAGATCGGTGACGCACTCCTCTTATTTTCACGTAAGGAGTAACGTATTCCGTGACATTTTTCCTTCGGTAACGCATACAGATTTACTAAAACTCCCTAACGATGACTCAAAGACCTGGCAAGTGTTTCGTTTGAGTGCGCGTCTTTCGGGGTAATAAAGGTCTTTGTTTGTAAATTGTTGACTTATATTGAGGGTGTCTTATTAAATGTTTACAGACTGTTAAGAAAAGCCGCAAAACATTCCCTAGTGGGGTCTGTGCAGGTCAGTTATACGATGAGGACATAATATATGGAGTTAATTGTCCTAAGTAAATTAATTAACAAAAACGTGTAAATAACCTGTTAATAAGCAAAGATACACTGCGCCATTCAGGACCATTATTTCGGTAAATTCTGGAGAGCCTCGGAACACGTGGGCAGATCGGTGGTACGCTTAAGTTCTCACTCGTGCAACATGGCACAACCTGGGGGTGCGAGAACGTGGCCTCGCTGATTTTTTGTCTCGCGTCGTCCGGGTTTTCCCGCCGCTAGCCTTGCGCCCGTCACACCAACTTTAGCGCTTCACCGTGCTTTACACGCGCTCCTAACCTTTCTAAAATGACTTTGTAATATTCAATGACGCCCAGCAAGGTTCCAATTCAAACCATATGTTTATTTTCGTTAAATGAAAAGATAAAAGTTAATTATTCGACCCATCGCGACACTTATCCTTCAATATTATGTCCCCAAGGCCGTATAACTCACCTGCGCACAGAGCGTTAATGTAGCACTCAGGGATTTTTTAAAGAAACATATGGAAAGCTAAAAAAATAAGACCCCGTATAGAGGTGCGACTGCTAACCCGGTGCTTTTCAGGTGCATCACTCGCGAATCATTTGATGACCGTTTGCGTGTGCGAGGTTCTCTTATATCGAAGCATGCCGGGAGGGAATACGACACCGAATGTCATCCAGCGCGAGATTTCACTCCATGTGGTCCGAGACTCGCTGTACTTGCACACACTGTCACGGATCCACAATTTTTGTCTCTGAAAAAAATCTATATCCCTCACCAACACTTCATGTGACAACAAGCCGGCGTTTTCCCACACAAGGTGCCTGCACTGCATCTGCGCAGAAACCAGATTCGCGTGAAAGGAAGCACCGGCGCATGCGCAGTGCCGAAAGCAGCGCCACCTTGGTGGCGTGACGGGAGAGAGTTGACTGGGTGTATATGACTTGTGACTGTTTACAGATTGGGAAGTGGGATTGCCTTCATGGGATCGACTTTTTGTGGCAGTGAATTCAAAGCTAGGGGGGGAGGGGGGGGGGGGGGGGGCGAAGCTACGTCTTTGTGCTTGCCAAATAGTTTCGGACTTTTAAATAGGCGAGAATTTATTACCCTGCTCTATGCAGTCGCCTTTGGTTTAAACGGTCGTGGTTTGGATGGGACTGGTTCCATGAGACCGATGCGCGGTTCCCGCCGTGCTCTTTCGCTCCGTTCACTCTTTCGTTACCTCCACTTTCCCTCTCACAAGAGGAAGAGTCTTCTGCCACGCTTCCAATGACGTGCCGCTTGGGCGGGAGAGAAGGAGATCGAGCGGCCGTGGCGGGAGCACAGATTACGCGACAACGTAAAGCTGAGGCGCAGCGACGATGCCGTTTCCGCGAAACCTCCGACACTCGGGAGGAAGGATTGGCTCTTCGAAAACAACAGTGTGCGAACTGTAGGCGGCGATCAGAGGAAACTGTGGTGGCTACATCCGAAACCGCCGACGTCTTGGAGAGCAGACTGGCTCTCCGAACACAACAGTGTGCGGACGGTTGCGAGGTTGGAATTCCCATCCCTTGCTGAGTCGAAACCCCTGCGCTAAATACTAATACATTTTGTTCAGAATCTAAGTAACGACAGCAGCGATTTCAGCATAATTTTTTGGCTTCGGTTTCTATTTGCGTTTTAGGGTGAAAGTCACACGGTTGCTAAAGTTCATCTTTTCGTACGAGGATCGTGGTTGAGGGCGCTGAACCGGGATTGCCGAGCATGCATACATATCCTCGCCTGTTTCCCAACGTTTCACCCGTTTTTTAAGCACGAGCCAACCCCTTTTCTGAAGCACTCGGACCGACTCACGGGGTAATTTACACCGAGGTCCATCTCGCCGATTTCTATTTGTCTATCGACCGACGCAGATGTGTGGCGATGATTTGGGAAATGGCGTGTATTTTATTGGCGCTTCAATTCTGAGATCCTTAATACATAAAATCTTCTGGTTCTGAATAATTACAGCGCGAGCGCGATATACCGAAATATTAGCACAGGCGCGATATCAAATCCTTTTAGGATCGCGTTCAGTTACTGCTGGCACCAGAGAGTTCGGTGGCGCACCACAGCTCGGAATACGTACAGCGAAAGATCGCGCTGCAGAACTTTGGGATTCCGGGATTAATCAGCACCCCTGCTCGCATATGCCGGTGAGCTCGCTAACCAAGTGCTATACAGAAACAATGCAGGGTCCCGACTCCCTCTTTCTCAATCGTGCGTTGACGTTGCAGGCCACTTGCTTGGTTTGTTTTGACAACTTTTGGTTGCCAAACTTCACGAAAATTTTATAGGGCGAACAACGGGGCGTTCTCACGGAAGGTCGCAACGATACACCATACCGACAACCAGGGACAGCCAATACAGTTAAGCGCGCTGGACGAACTATGACCGTGTCACTCCCCGTTCCCCCTCACCTTTTATACACCCATATCAACTAGGCAAGACATGTCGTTGTTTGGGAACATGCGAGTAGTGACTAAACACGAGCATATAACGTCGTGGCAGGGGCTGTGTTCAGAAAAATAAAAATCTAAAACATTCAACACGGCGTCGCCCCCTTTTGATGGCAGCCTCTGCGACCGCGGAGGTCGCTCACCCCGAAGCCGGCACTGTCTCCTGCCGTCGATAAATACCACAAGCGAAGGAGGCCATGTTTGTTTTGAAGCGAAATAGAAGAACTGCTGCGAAATTAAACAAAGAAATTCCCGAAGGAGCTAAAGGAAGAAGTGCTACAAGTTTGGCATATCCTGACTAATATACCACTAAAATCGCAAAATCAAAGCTAAAAAAAGTTTTTTTAATTAGTTAAGCAAAACTCACCAAAATATTTCCTTTGAATTATATTCAGTTGCGCAGTAAGACAGCGTGCTTCTGCGCTGTAGCCCTGGTTTCATTTCCAGAAAATGTTGACCCCATATAGAGTGAAAAATAATACTTATATTCAAATTTACAATGAGGAACGTTTGTATGATACCTGGTTTCAATTTAGATCCAGAAGGAGCCGACGCTAAGAGCTGATGAGATTCATGAAGCTGATCAAATGGCGTCAAAGGTGTAAGCCACTCAGCCTTCCCTGTACACAATTGGTTCAGCGATGATAAAACGCCTGTACAAAAACGTCGCGGGCACCCTCTTGGTGTGCCTTTCAGGCTGTAGGATCGGTCCCCTCAGCTCGTTTTGCGTCGGCAACGTCCAGACCTAAGGGGAAACGAAGTACAGTAAAGTAAGACAGCTAAGTTGAGAGAGGTTTCTTACATCGCGCAAAAAAAGAAAGAAAAGAAAGCAGTGCTACAATGTCCTCTCATGCGCGAACGGGACGGAACCGACGAGAAACCAACCAAACTCCGAGTAGGCCCCTTGCTATACGCTGTTGGGTTTGATCATTGGAACAGCACCAAGATCATTGGAGCCCCTTTAGGAGTGGTGAACACTATATAGTAATTGAGAAGATCCATGCGGCAGGGAGGAACTTCAGTTGCCCCTCCTCCAGCTCTACCTTCGATAGCCCTCCGGCCTCGAGCGTGCTCGCCGAGGCCAAGCACGAAGGAAAACGAAGAACGCGTGCATGGGTGCTGGGCGTCTTGTCAGCAGTCTCGTGCACGTTACTCGACAAAAGTAACCGATTACAGTTACAATTACTCTGTGTTTAAAAAATATTTTGATTACCCGAGAAGAAGAGTAATTTGTTTTTAATCGTAAACGTATTCGTTACATTTCCGATTCCTTCAGATTTTCAACGCGACACATTTTCCTGTCGGTTTATAAACAGGTCTTTCCTGCTGTTCATTACTGGTTTACGATTCCCGAACTATAAACCACTTATTTTCTTAATCCACCAAATTCGGTAAATCGTCCTCCAGTCGGAGAGTGGGTTCGATGGTTGCTCGGTAGGAAACTTGCACATAAGGGTGCCATCAGAAAGCGGAGGGGAAAACATAAGTAAGTTACGCGCAATTGTAATTCTTCCAAAAGTAATCCAAAGACTGTTGAGATCACCTCCTAAAAAATAATCAAATGGTCACAACATTGCTCTAACAACGAATCGATTAGAAGTAACTTGATAACTTGTAATCTGCACCTTACAAGTCTGGTTGTCAGCGTCGACGCTTTAACCACGCGCTACATTGAGCAACCATTGCGGACGTTCTCTCGTCTTACCGAGATACCGCACTACAAAAGCGGGGGTTGACGAGCCTCCACAAAGGCCTATGCTGAGGAGAAGGACACAGCAGCACCTAAGGTGGCAATAACCTGTGCTGCTGTGTCAATTGTGAAGTGAAGCGAACAGAGTAAGAGGAAACAAAAACTGACGGTCGCTTATGGCAGCGCCAGTGCACAGTTGCCTGAAAGCGTCTAGGGAGTTTTAGTAGATCGCATGCGCTGCGGAAAGCGGGCCCAGCGGACGCCTGCTCAATACATGCTTCGAAGAAACGGCACGAGATCCCGCTAGCAAAGCGAACCTGTAGCGAACGATCTAATGAAATTTCCAAGTGACTACAAGCGTCCTCTAACTCTGGTGAATGTTAATCTCAAAAAGGACGCAAAAGCGTGCCAGGAAAGCTCCACGAGTGGGGCTTAAATGGTTGTGGGATACACAGCAGTTCGTTGTCGAATGGATACCACAGCAGGCGGTTGTTCGCTGCAGTGCCGAAGGTTATTATTTTTTTTTTCCGTTTGATCGACTGATTGCTCCTTCGCTCGCTTGCTTGATTCATTAATTGAGTGATTTATTTCTTGCTCGCTCGTTTGATTGATTTATTGAAGGTTAAGGTCCTTCACTTATCGGCAGGAGTATATTTATGGCTCACTAAAACTTTGAGGTCTGCCTCTCTCCCCAAAACACGTGGGTGGTTTATAGAGAATACCCCCATTCTTAGGAAAATCTTTGGCCACTTTCGACTGTGACTGCTAAAGATGGATATTTGTAACGCAAAATCAAGACGCGCTGCACACGCAGCAGTCATGGTCACATTTTATGCACTGCTATCGCGGTTTAACTTCGAATCACTCAAGAATCACGCTACTTTGATGGTTTTTGTTTGCTTTACGTCTATACCACGATTTCTGTTTTTCCCCTCAGGCTCTCGGGCGCAGGTATTTCTGGTATGTACAGGTTTTTATTTCTTAATCAGATGTTAAATAGTGAAGCTGGAAATCTTCCTAGTTGGAATAAAATCATTTATGACAATGACAAACCACTGATCGGCTGGTAACACGGGTGATATATAAGACACCGTAGAAAACAAAACAAAAAGCTCTGGTTTTAGTTTTGAATACTTTTATTTGGAATATTGAAATATCCACATCACAAAGAAGTGTCTGCACTAAAGGAGCTCTAATTCACGCGTCAAATAGATTGTGTCAACGTCGTTTTTGTAATGCGAACATGTCGTCCATTTCTCGCCATTGACTTTTGCGACAATGCAGTTGACGTAAAATCTGTTTCACACACTTGCGTTGGTTCGCAAAAGAGTGCGTTACGCAGTCTTGTGATCACTTACGACGAGGGAATACACTGGCACCACCAATTAGATAGCCGTGGAATACTCGAAGATATTCGTATATTTACTTATTCTTTCGCTCATTGTACTTTCACCACGGGCTCGAAAACGATTTTGACAATATTAGTACCACCATTCCTCGTAGATAGTATGTGCATTTAATCTCGCGAATACTGTGAAACTTTCGCTCTGAAGAAACGCAGCTCGAGGGCCACCTCATTGATGGCGACACCGCGCCAGTGGGTTCTCTAAAAAGTTGAGTTAAAAAAAAAAAAGAGGAAGCAACTTAAACAACAGAGAGCGTTTGCACATTAATGGCTGATGCCTCCGGCGCCAATTGGTTCCAAGTGCGCATGCGTGGTATTGTCGCGTGGCGTGGGAAAGCTGGAGGAGGTGCCTAAACGCTCGCAGCCGATCAACGCTTGCGTCACCTCGTCGCAACACGTATTGGTAACGTGATCCATAAGCCACGGGACAACGATTCAGCAATTGGAAGCATTCTGAAACCTAGACAGGCTGTGTTTTCTAGCCCTATGTGGTTACAAGAGCGAGTAACCTAGACCACATAAGACAAAGGCCTGTTAGCAGATGCCCGAACCGTACCAAGCGGAAAACACACTGATGTATTTCGAGGGTTCGGGGCAAAGCAGCAGACGCGTCGGCGGCAACGCTAACGCAATTTATATGGCGCTGCGGGTTTGCACCAGTGATGACGTTTGCGTGTGGTTTGGAGGGGGAGGACTTGTTTTCCAGCTGATATTGTCGTGGTGCAGTCGATCGGAGGAACCGCATGTACGAAGCATGCCTTCAGAATACCATGTCTCCTCTGGTTGATGAAGCCCCGTCTGTCTTGTCAGGATGCTCATTTGGTTGCCGCGTGTGCAAGAAGAACCCCATCACCACACAATCGATGAGGGTAATAGACCAACCTAGACTATCGGACGCCCAAGTCCTAGCTCACAAAATGGGACACCTGTGAGTATGTCACCCTATTGTTTATCGAATCCTTCGAATTTAACGGCGCAGTGGCTGCCAGGAACTTGAGCTATTGCAGCAATTAAGAACTGTCTCTTCTGTCAGTCTCGTAGAGGGCGGTTTCTCGTGACGTACTTCCGGACCAAAACCTCGCCAAGCCCTATGTTGATAAACTTTCGCTCCATGTTGTTTTATCTGTGGTTTTCACGCTCGCTCGAGTTTTCTTTGTGCCGTGATCAGCTGTCCTAGCCAGTGTGGTCGGGAACATAAAAGAACGTCGGTTGGAACTTGATGTTTCTACATACCGGTCTTTCGAGCTAAAACGAGCCGGTGCTCGAAAAATCGGCTCGTCGGCAGGCAAAATAGTCCCCAAAAACATTGCCAAGCAGTACCTAAAAAAAGAAAAAAAAAAATCCACGAAATAAGTTTAGTTTGTGCGCCCGAAATACCTTGCCAATCGTACATACTTATGTAGTCGACGGAGCACCTCGCTATGCTTGTGCCTTTGACCATCATCAAAAATGACGCCAACAACTGAACGTATGCATGCAAACTAATTGGGAGAGAGTGCCTAATGCTGGGCATCAACGTGGTGGAACGCTGTTTACCGGAAGTCAAAAAGCGTTTCGTCGAACCGCTCGTCTAACCAAGCGGAAACTTGAAACGCGGAATTTACCAAGTTGGCGGAGCAAAAGGAGCCAAATTTTGACCACTACACAAAACTTTGTTCAGAACTAACCATCAATGAAAAAGTACCTCGAACGTTGCTGCACAAAAAGGTTTTGATTCCCATAACTCGGACAAAGATAAACGTAAATTAAAGACGGGCGTAAAATTGGGGACACAATCAGAGGGTGGGGGTGGTGGCTTTCGCAGACTAATTAGAGGCGTAAAGAAGGCACAAATGGAGAGGCATTTTAGGTTAGCCCGATTCTACACAATGTCGGAGACTACCCCGGTGAAGAATTTTTTACTCGCTTATACGGGTGCGCTTTGTTCTGTTTGGGCGGGAAGGGGGATGGGAGGGGAGATGGGGATTTAATACTTTTCCCTCCAATTTGGTATTTTTCGGTATCAACTTCCAATGTCGGAGAAAGAAAGCGGATTTGACCTGAAGGGGACACGGGCGTGGGATTCCCGAAAATTACAGGTGACATCCGCGGGACCCCGGAAACTTGAAAAACATTTCTGTACCGATAAAAAAATAAACGAGAGATAAGATGTGTAATTCCCAAGCAAGAACAAGCTTCACAGACAGTAGATTGTGCACTGTGTTCCAGGTCAGCGCAAAATAAAGCCGTAGACAAAGATTTCTTTCGTGAGTAATGCTTGTATTTTTTCCATGTTGATAAAAACAGCTTGGGTGTCTAGTTTTCGGGGTGTATTAATATGCATCAAAAGACAAAAAAAAAACAAGAAAAAAAAACAATTGAGGTATACACTCGTAGTCAGTTACCAGATGTCCGGGGAACACTCAGAAGGAAGGCAAACACCACGGTGTTGCTCTTTCGCCGCTGCGTGAATGGGCCATCTGCTAGTGGCGTCAGCTGCGCTCTGATTGAGGTCAAAAGAAAGTATAGACATGCGCAAGTATAGGGACTCTGGGAGCCACCGCCTTGCTACCGGAGTCAGAAAATTGTCTCATAGTCAAGCCCTTGCAAAAATTCCAGCTTGGCAAAACATTTTTTTTCCAGCCTGGCTCAAGCAAAAATGTTTCCATCCACTGTGCCCAGAACAAATTTTGTCTGTTTACGAGCGAAAACCTCCGTTTACCGTGAGTTTTTGCTGCGTAAATTGTCATGCCATAAAGCGCCAAATTCTAATTTCTTTGAAAACTACATGACCATTTGATATGGGTGCAAATTGGTGACCATCGAATGATTCCTACTTGCCAATAAACGACAAAAGTGAAGACAGCTACAATAATTATCCCCCTCCCCCCATTTCAATGCTTAAAGGTGTTTGGGTTTCTTTCCTTTTCTAGTAGCTTTATACTTGAACATAATCTTGAGACATTTGCGGAAAATGTGGTTCTAAGGAAAGTTCTTTCGGGTTCCATTTATATTCCGTGTCACTCTAAATGTGATCGCAGCCGACGCTATGCCGAGCGCAATTTCGTCTGTTTCTGGACACAAGGGTTGAGATGATATCTGAATGCAGATCACTTATTGGCTGATCGAAAAAAAAAGCTACTGGGTAGCCCTCGAGGAATCTAGCATTGAGGTCTACCCACAATCCTTCCAATCAAGAACCAATCAGAACTCGGCGTCGTTGTGACGTCACCGCAGCCCCTGCTCAAGACGCAGACGAACTTTCGCTCCGCATAGTATCTGATGGAGCCAATCAAAGGGTTCCAAAAGCGCATGGTCATGGCGCTCGTCGTCTTTGTGCGTATGACGTCACCGGTGAGAACAATCACACATAGTAAATGCGCCTTGATTTTGCGATATTGTTTTTTCTGTACGTCACATAACAAACGTATGTAACTAACGTTTCAGGCTCGGAATGAATCACGAAGGAGAGTGTCCTAGGACTTACACACCGGGAAATGAAAAGCTCCGTTGCAAAAAGCAGGAATTCGGATACGTGTTGGGTTCCGGCAAACCACCGCACTATTTCTCGCGTTGCCTTCAAGACCAAGTGAGAGGCTGTCTGATGTAAGACCACTTCGCTCATCCAATGTATCGTTTTTTTTCTTGTATTTTTGTCTATAAGTCGTATTTACGTACCATTCGGACCGCTCCGTAAATCTATACGGCCCCCGCGGTGACACTGTACTGAAAAGCCTGCATGTGTGTATGATTATGGCGGTATATATGTGATCGAAAGCAAGTTTCAATATGCTCGCAAATGGTTCGAACGGAACATACAATACCGTGGCATATATCCACAGATAAGGGCCATTCTTATGGGAACAAAATTTATGTAAGTTTATTTCAAATAAAAAACGAAAATACTACTACTAATTATAAAATATATATGCAGCTCAAAACACTGTGAAAACTCTGGTTAGGAGCTGCACACACACCGTCGTCGGGGCCCGACGTTGAGGAGAGACAGTACCCAGCACTAGTTCCGGCACATATAACTCTACCTAAACTCGACTGGAGTTCGCGACACAGGCAACTGCTACGACTTTCTCCGTCCGAAGGCTTGCGATGGCTAACCGCCCTTTTTTGCTGTCTCTCTTCTTTGTCCACTTTTCTTCCCCTGGCCGCGAGGCGAGGATTCTTGGTAATCTGGCGCGAACGCCCACAATGGGACACACACACACACACACGTGCCCGCACGCACAGCACCGAATGAGTCGGTAATATACTCCGTCACAACACGGCATAATATTTTTAATATTTTCTGTAGATTGGTGCTAGTGTCACTAACAACTGAAAGGATAGTACGGTAAAATCTCGTCTTCCACAAAACAATATAAACTATGGTGTCCTTGCGTTTTGGAATATCAATCGCAGACTATCCGAATTTTCAATTTTCCGCCACGCATGCGGTAATTTAATTTTAAAGAGAGCCCAACTGCACAGATTGCACCCGCAAAACACACACGGGGTCATTCAATGCCAAAGGAGACGGGGAAATTTTATAATGTCTGGGATAGGTACTAAAAAAATAGTTTGTAAAAGAAAACCCCTAAACTCTAGGAAAAGAGTTTTTTTTTGTGAAAAAATAAATATTATTTTGGTGAAGTCATTTCCTAAATTTCTAGAATATGCATAAAAACCACGTAGTTAAGAAAAACATACGAACATCAAACCGGTTGCCTATTGCAGAAATTTAGGTGGGCGCCTATTTACTTAGTAAAATGACCTATCTTACACTAAGATGGAAACGTTGAAAAACTCCATTTTGATTCCAGACGAACCTCCGAAACCTAGAGACTTCATACTATTCTTTATTTTTCAGTTAACTTGGGTTTGGGTGTTACCTACAATAATATTTTCCCCTATTCTTCTATAACTAATAATTCAATTTCTTGTATTACTTTTTCAAAGCCTCGTTTCGTTGCGTTCTAATTAAATTACAGAATCTCCAGTTTATGTAGCAAAGGCCACATTGAGAGCCAGAAAAACCAATTTGGGCTGCGGTGCCCGACACTTTCGAAATAACCAATATTTAAAACCACATCAGATGTTCAACATCTACGATCATTTTCTAATTTCTACCGAAAATTTCTAACTAAAAAAACTTAACCTATTAGCCAGTTAAAGACTTATCGCGATTAAATCATTACTGGATCGATCGGATTGTATAATAGATCAATTCCCCAGCCCTACTCGTTTTCCACACGAGCTGGGCTGAGTTCACGCCGAAGGCTGACGCAGCCCTCGTGTCCATCACATGATCAAAGCACGCGCCATAACAATGGCGGCCTCGGATAACTGGCTCAGGAACTACTACATGGCGCTCACTTTTGAGAAGGGTCTATTGCAATGCCTGCGCCTCTATGACGAGATGCTCGGCGGTCAAGACACCGTGCGTTTTCTCGAACTGTGAAGTGATATCGCGCTGAAGCTCATCTGTTAACGCTTTGCCAGAACTAAAATCGCCAAGCGTGTACATCGTTCGCAATAAGAGCGCTCGAAACGCACTGTTCTGTGTCATATTAAGCTAACAGATTTAGTTCAGAACAGAACAAACTTAGTTGTTCTGTATTTTTGTTTGTTTGTTGTTGTTGTTTTTGGAAAGGAAGACGGTAGAGTAACTGTATATGCTGCTCTTGAGGACCAGAGTAACGCGGCGGTCTCAAATTCCGGCCTCAAACTATTGCGGGAAGCTACCATTGCTCCCACAGGAGACGCGACGGGTGCCACCATACGGCAAACACATTGAGGCTTTATTTTATCCCCTGAAACGAGGGGCCAAATGATCAAACTGCCCAAATTTAACTAGTATTTTTCTCCGATGTTCGCTGGAAGGCACTCGTGTTGTACACGTATGCCTCGAGGGCACGTTTTACACAATGTCCTCTCATTTTGGAGAGATGTTACTTTTGCGCAGTGACCAACTGGATTTTCTTATTCAGGCAAGCGAGAGAAGGGTGCTTTGACTTGACGGGGGGCAAGAAAATCTTCTAAGAGAAAGCGAAGGCCACCAGATGTCAATAAAATCAAGATTTTGATTGTCCAGATTATTTATTTCGTGTAACAGAATTTTATGTCTCATACTAGAACGCTTCAATGCCTCATTTTATTATTTTTTTTTTTTGGAGGGTGTATACACGGCGTTTGATTTTGTTCAAACACACACATATATGAAGGGTGTTTTTCTTTAGGATTTAGACTTGTTTTAAAATAAAAGCCGTGAAAGTTACACTTAAGCGGTTTGTGCAGGTGAGTTTTACGGCCAGTGGGACATTATGTGGGTGTCTAGTCTTTGCGATAAGTTGGCTAATTAATTAAAATTTTAATAAACTTTTTAATAAATGAAAATAGACATATGGTTCCAATTCGAAACTTACTGAGTGTCATCGGAAACCACTAAATCAACTCTTTTTAGACCGACTTGAAGCTCGTGGGAAACTCGGGGGCGCGCCAAAGTTACCGATCGTGAAGCAGGCGCATAGCCAGCATTGGCGGAACGCGATGATAATCTTATCACCAGTGAACGAAAGGTCGCTGGTTCGATGCCAGCCGAGGAACAAAAGCGAAATTTTTTTTCGGAGGAATGTCAAAATTCGCAGATGTCACGTAAACGTTTTGGTAAATGTCGTGTCGCCGGTTTTTGTACCTTTTGCGTCCCCGACGCGTTTTCGCTCAAGGACTTTGAAGGTCGACTGACTTAATAATATGCCCTGGAACTCCTTCCCTCTTATGTGGTACCCGTATATGCAATAACGGTTAAATAAATGATTATGACGAAGGCGTTTCACTTGTGCCTTCATTATTGATTCAGAGTATTAGGAAGCAGAAGCATAAACAAAAATCGTCGCGCGGAGCGTGTAGTGTGAAGGCTACGGCCGGGCGTCGGCCAGGTGAGGCGTACGGCGATGAGGCAAGGGCGGGGCAAGTAGCAGTTCAATAGAAGTTTTATTAACGAGCGTATAAGAAAAGGAACGAGGCACTGACGCGCCGCATGGTTCGGTCGCGCCAAAACACAGAAGCCGGCTGGGACACTTGTCCGGCCAGGCTTGACAGCAAGGACGAAAAAAAGAGCGGGCCGGGGTAGGTGGCGCTAGTAGCTTGCTCACAACAGAGCTGTATATGGGGAGAGTTTGGTCAGTCTATGATCTCGCCGCCGTAACGCTCTCCTCCCAAGTGAGCCAATCAGCACGCGGCGTAGAGCGAGAGGCATGAGCGCATGCGCGTGAACTCCCGGCTGCTCCCAGCTGAGTGGGGACGGCCGCCATCTTCGATCATTCTCCCGGCGGAATGCGTGGGATCGGCATCTAAATCTCGATTATTGCCTTTTATATCGCTGGCTCTGGCAAGAAAATGACATTCTGTTATTCCTCAGTGGGTTAAAAAGCTAATCAATGAAGATTTTTGAACGTAGGGCCACAAACTTTTATTCAGACGAAAAAGAAGTCGGCCCGTAGCAGACGACGTGTAGCCTCAGCAGTGCTCCTCTCTGACCAGTCTTCGACAGCGCTGCTCAAAAATGGCGGTCGTCTCCTCTCTGCTCCCTTCTTTCTCTCTCGCTCCTTCGGCGCTCTCCTCCCTTTCATTTACTTTTCTCCTCTCCGCGCCTTCGTCGCCACACCCAGTGGCCAAACTCTCCCAATATACGGCTCTGGCTCGCCATATTACTCTGTCATGAAACATATTTACATTTGCTATAACTTGTACAAGCCTCTACAAGGTGTTTTTGATCGTTATTCGGGTGTCAACAATTTTTTACTCTCGATAAAATGATGAACCAGCACAAGAAGATTCGAAGCAATGGAAACGTAAATTTCATTACTTACACGAAGTCGGCGTATGCTCGACGAGACTCTTCACTCAAATTACTTGGGTTTGTTACAAATAGCTAGGATGACCTGGAAAACAGGTCGAGAAGAACGAATCTTCTCTTCTAGAATATAACAGGCAAACTAAATCAGACATAATCTACACTGGAAGACAAAGCGCTCGACCTTTGCGGAAATAAACTTGGCGTGACCATAGCGGTGAACGACATTCAACGCGCGCAAAGACTAGGCTGCCCAGAACCAGAAAGCAAAGACCAATAATCGTTAAGCTTTTTAAGTTTCCATCCTTCATAGGTACACAAGATCTGTGCAATATCCAAAGGATTTAAAAAGGCACTGACACATCAAAATCATTTTTTTTTTATTATCCGAAACGATTGAAAACGATGCCGGGCGGGATAGAAGCTGGCAAGGGAAAAAACCGGTTTCTTCCCCGACTCGTCGATAAGCCTCTGCTCGAGCGCCGCCAAGTTTTCCGAGGGGGGATACAAATTCAGGAAGCGACATCACACCGAAATCTGATTTTTGGTACTTCAAAAAGAGGGGCATTAGTGGGTTCGCAATTGCGTTAAAAAACATGTTTTACGATTGCCGCTATTAAATGTTATAAAAATGTCGCCTACAAGGCTTCTAAATTGTCTGATTTTTGACGTCACCGACCAAAAGAAGCAAGGAGGTGAGCGCAGGCAATATAAACGCCAAAAATAAAAAGGTGCGCGCGCGCGGGGTAAAATTTTTTTCG